AGAAATGGACGCTTAGGACGGAAAACTTGCTTGACGTTCGGCTTCAGAGGAAAAAGGAATTCGCCGTTTACTATCAGTCTGACGCAGAATCGCCCACACACTGGGCTGATTTAGCCGTAGAGGAACACTGGAAAGTGGTACAAGAGATTATTCACAAAGCACTCTCAGATGCCGTCCCTTTAGTCACAACACAGCGTAAGAAACGACGCTCATGAATAAAAAGAGGATCGAAGAATATTCCGCAAGCAAAGTGGAGGACTTGGTCTACTCGATGACTGCATAAGAGTCAAGTGACCACTGGGCATGCCTGAGACACAGGAGCAGATGCAACACAAGAGTCAGAAGTGATAGAAGGTTATTTAAGGAAAATCCTGCCAGAAAACTGCTGCCAAACCCCAAAAACCTGTAATAACTCACGTCGGAGAGAAAACCTACTAAACAAGGGGCACGCATCTTAGTTGGTCCAAGCGGTCAATATCCAACTGGTTTTGAAATGGTTGAAACATTTAGTTAAGCTTTTACCAGGCAGCGAAATGACATTGTAGGTATTATCGGTATAGGTCAGGGAAAACCCAGTGAATATTCTCCAGATAAACCCAGCAGTGATACTAAAGAAGTTACAGAAACTCACATCTTGAAAGTCCCCAGATTGCGACGGTATTAGGCCATCGTTTCTTAACAAGTGCGCTGAAGCTGTCTGCAGGCTCTTATGTGACCTGTTCCCACGCTCAATGGATTCACGGAAACTGCCAAGGGAGTGGAAAACAGCTATTTTTTCTCCTGTCTTCAAGGGTGGGGATTTGCAAAAAGTTACCCATTATAGACCACTACCGCTACTCCTAGTGGTATCAAAAATAGTGGAAAGTATTATGGGTGATCACACTAGGCATCATCTCAACAAAGCTAACATATTCTATGAAGCACAATATGGTTTCAGGAGAGGAAGACCCTTTATAACGAACCTACTATCAACTTGGAATTATTGGACATTTAGAGGCTGACAGTATTGACGTTCGCGAATTGTACGGAGTATACTAACGCAAGATCTTATACCAGCAACTTCCTCATGTACCAAAGGCAAAACAAAAGATCAGATTTAGTCGTCCAAACTACGAGATATATTTCGGGACCAAATCGCGGACTGAAGTGAGTGCTTAGCTGGCTAGTGATCGTGCACGCACGTGACACGACGGAGTACCAAATGGCATGGGTGCTTGACCGGAAGCCTTCAGCTAAACAAGTCGACTTAAACAGTGAGGGTCTTCACTAAACCACTTCTTTTTCGTTTAATTTCTCCGTGAAAAAACACTTTTCTCTTCAGCATTTGAGTTATTTGCTTGTCATTCGTCAAGTAATTTTTTCATATGCTGTCCTTAAATATGCCCATTAAAAGTGAAACCATGCTTCATGTTAAGTCTATTCACGTTCTTCTTTACCCTTTCTCCTTTTCTAAGTGTCGTAATGAGCGAGTAAAATTTCATTCTCAGTCTTCAATAAAATCCCTCGAATAATTATTTTATGGACTTGTAGCGGTAAATAATTCCCCAAAATTATTAACCACAGCAATCATCACTCAACATTGGATGCTGACCATCACTGTTTAAGTCGACTTGTTTAGCTGAAGGCTTACGGTCAAGCATCCCCGCCATTTGGTACTCCGTCGTGTCACGTGCGTGCACGATTACTAGCTAGCTAAGCATTCACCTCTAGCCGCGATTTTGTCCCGAAATATAATACGTACTTTGGACGACAAAATCTGGTCTTTTGCTTTACCATTTGGTACTCGAAGAACGAACACTATAGAAGTTGTTGGTATAAGATCTTGCGTTAGTATAATCCGTACAACTCGCGAACGTCGATACCTGCAACCTCTAAAGACTAGAAGCCAAATTTCTAATAACGTTCTATTAAAATAGATACTTTATTGTATTATTACCAGTTAAACCACATACTTGCTTTCAGTAAACTATTTGGAATCTGTGCTCAATATGTGACTGAGCAGTTGAAGTTGGTTTATGAAAATTTGGTGAAGTATATGGTTGTAAACATATAACGCACAATAATCCACAGTACAATTTGAAGTGTAACTATCTGAGGAGTGAAGAAAAGGTCAACTTGGCTTTTGTACTCAAGTCTAACGGATGCATATTTCATATTGGCTCCTTTACTTAACACATGAAGTAGTAAAACAGTTCCATTTACTAAGTGATGTTTCAAAGATAATTCATTATTTAAAGCCACATCTTTGATAGACAACTTTTAGATTTCCAATTGACTTCTTCTTGTTAATATATGTGTAAAACTTGGGCACTGTGGTAGTAACTAATTCCATATTAGTTTGTTTATTAGGTATATCACACAGTGAAACAGTATGATTTACTGGATGACGTTTCGAACAAAATTTATTGTTCATAATCATATCAATTGTGATCACACGACTTTGACACTTGAGTTTTATAGCTTTCTTTGTTCTCTCCTATTTGTCGTATGGGTAGTAGAATTTTCCAGATATCGGGGACAGATGATGAATCATTCCTATTACATGTATTTGCAGTTGATTCGATAAACAAAGCTTCTGTTATCAATCTCTCCCTATACCCTGTGACATTAGATTTTAAAACTGTCATCCTGTCTCATCCATCCTATTGTATGGTTGTGTGTGGTAGCAGATATATTCATGGATAAGTGGGAAAGTATAGCGATTAAAACATTCACCCCCACCCCAAAAGTATGGTGGAGGTACGTAGATGACACATTCACTGTACTTAGAACACAAGATATAGATAGGTTTTTCGAACACATCAACTCGAAGGTTGAAGCAGTTTAATTCAATTATGAATTGGAAAATCAGGAAGGGGAACTCCCAATGTTAGATTGCAGCGTAAAAAGGAAAGAAGATGGGAAGTTAAACACTGGTGTTTAAAGGAAACCCACACACTCAAACAGATATTTGGACTTCCGATCATCCCATCCTATGTCAGTAAAAATAGAATTGGTGAAATGTTTAAATGACAGAGCACAAAAATTAAGTAGTACCAAAGAAAATCTAAAACAGGAACTGATACACATAAAAGAGGCCTTGAAACTTAATAATTACCCAGATAAATTAACCAAGAAATATGTAAGGAAATGTAAAAATAAAATAAATAATGATAGTAGCGATAGTGATAATAACAGTAATAATGATAATGATAACAGTGATAATAATAATAATATTAATGACGACACCAACAATAAAGAATCTAAATCATCAGTAGTAATTCCATACAAGGAAGGAACCTCGGAAGCCTTACGCAGAATTCTTAACAAGGCAGGAATAAAAACGGCATTCAAACCCACAAACTCAATTAGAAACAAGCTTTGTCGGTTAAAGGATCCTGTAGAGCCTTTAAAACAAAACAATTTAGTTTATCTAATACCCTGCAATGATTGTCAGGTCAAATACATAGGTCAAACTAGTAGAACAGGGGCAGTCAGACTAGCTGAACATAAAAACTTAGCAAAATCTAGATTTGTTGACCCAAATAAGATAAGAAATCTAGAGAATAGTTCAGCTATAGCACTACATACAGTCACACACAACCACACAATAGGATGGATGAGACAGGATGACAGTTTTAAAATCTAATGTCACAGGGTATAGGGAGAGATTGATAACAGAAGCTTTGTTTATCGAATCAACTGCAAATACATGTAATAGGAATGATTCATCATCTGTCCCAGATATCTGGAAAATTCTACTACCCATACGACAAATAGGAGAAAACAAAGAAAGCTATAAAACTCAAGTGTCAAAGTCGTGTGATCACAATTGATATGATTATGAACAATAAATTTTGTTCGAAACGTCATCCAGTAAATCATACTGTTTCACTGTGTGATATACCTAATAAACTAACTAATAGGTAATCACTTCTTCTTGTTTTCCAAAGGGCGGTAAAATTTTTCAAGGATTAGAAACAAGTTATTGCGCAACCCTGAAACAAGATTTCTTTGATGTTTCGGAGGACGAAGTCTCAGTTTCCAACATCGTTTTTCAACCTGCTTAGTTAATTTTTATGGATATCACCTTATCCTATCTTGTTTGGCTGCTTGCCTCATTATTAATCCGACTTTCCTTAAATTTATTATTTCATTAGATTTTACTAGGAGTTTACGTTCTACGTAATCGGCCAAATAAAATAAACTGTAAAATAAAATTCACACTTTGAAATCAGTGATTGTTATGCAATTTGAACAGTCCGAGGTGGTATTTCCTCAAAGTTTGCTTTGGCAACTAAATCTATTCAGATCACAAGGTATATTGCTCTTGTTACCATAAGCGGAAATCAAGAAAGCAAGCATGAGTGCATGATCCTGCATACTAATGATTGATTTATGTAAGTAGTTCCGTGCCATTCAAATCACTCAGTGGTACTTGCTATCCAGATCAAAGTGGTCTAAACACCAAACGGCCTGAAATAAGAGAAATAGATCCCCGGTGTTTAATTACTTCATTCTACCTAGCAGGTGTATAACGTCAAGCAAAATAAACTGTATTTGTGACTAAACAGTACTATAACAGGGGCCAAGTTGTATTCTTTTGCTCACGGAAACCTGTGTCCACAAACAGGGACAATGAAGAGGGGTTGAGTTAATTACTTCGCACCTACTTTGGTACTATCAGACAATAATTATTCTCAAACTGGCCTACTCCGTATATTACAAGATCACATTGCAACCAATTTGAAACTCTCTGCTGAGTTTGAAGTAATCAGTCCTCATGAAAGTATTTACGGTATTCGGTTTTCGTCTAATAATTCTGCAATAAATTTTATTACAATATTTAATAATGTCACTAAGTAAACTCACTTTATGTTTTTTAAATGTGCATGATATTTAGTCTAACAGGTATATATATTAACAAGTGTTTAATTGTACTAAATTCAGTTTTTAATTCATTTTATTTATTTAGATATTGTTTTACAGTGAACCAAAGAATTGTCAAGTTAAATAAAGATCTAGAAGTTAACATATGACATTAGCCGTACCTTGCTGTTGATTACATCTCTTAACCATCTTTCAGAAAATCGAGATTTTCCAGGTCTAAAAGTAAATAATATTGAAGAGAGTGAGAAATCAAGAATAGTTCATTGGTCAACTTTGACTTGTCTTACCGAACAAATTATGAAATGACGGATAAATTAAAGAGTTAATATCAAATAGTTTGCATAGTACTACTATTAGTGTCATTATTATAATCGTCAGTGTTTCACTTTATGGATTCACTCACTGGTTTGATTATTTTGTTTTCTTATGCGCTGCGTTTAAAATTTTAATGCAGCTAAAGTATTTTCCAGAAAAAAAGAAGCAACAATAAACTCTGGCTGGCAACAAACAAACCAAGAGCTGATCACTCAACAAATTATTACGAGAAAGTGGAGATGGATCGGGCATGCATTGAGGAGGCCTCCGAATGCCATCGGGCGCCAGGCCATTACGCATGTGGAATCCTAATGGGAAGCGACTAATGGGTTATCGCTTCGAGGGTGACATGGGAGAGATGATGTGAGGAGGGGGAAGATGAGAGAATATGGTCAGTCGTGGACCCATCTGAATAAGACAAAGTCGCATAGAAGAAAGTGGAGATGTATTGTTGAAGCCCAGTGTTCCACTCAGAACGCAAGGGAATAATAATAAATAATAAATTAAACTTAAATGCAATCACTTTGAACTGACCAAAACTATTCTTATTTTGTAAAATAACAAGTTGCAGTGATTTACAAAATCATAACATTGTTTCAACATTTTAAATATATAAATCTGTAAGGAGTTTTGGCACATGGTAACCATTGCAAAAAATTGACCAAATGCTGAACAAAATGGAAGCAATCGCAAACTCAATAAACATCTGATAATTTGTACAAATAAACTTTCAACTATAAATGTAATCACGTAGAGTATTTTCAGCAGATTCCATATTAGTTTGTTTATTAGGTATATCACACAGTGAAACAGTATGATTTACTGGATGACGTTTCGAACAAAATTTATTGTTCATAATCATATCAATTGTGATCACACGACTTTGACACTTGAGTTTTATAGCTTTCTTTGTTCTCTCCTATTTGTCGTATGGGTGGTAGAATTTTCCAGATATCTGGGACAGGTGATGAATCATTCCTATTACATGTACTTGTAGTTGATTCGATAAACAAGCTTCTGTTATCAATCTCTCCCTATACCCTGTGACATTAGATTTTAAAACTATCATCCTATCCCTAATATGGAATTACTTACTACCACAGTGCCCAAGTTTTACACATATATTTTCAGCAGAGATGTATCTAACATCAAAGTATGTTAGTGTGCATACATTTATTAAAAAACTCACTTTTGTAGTCAACAAATGTACAGGTATTTAAACATTGAAACTGATGTGAGAAGAGAAACTGCAAGTGATTAAAGCCTGATGAAAACTCACAGTAAGGGAATGTAGCTGGTTTGCTCAAATTCCAACTATTCATTCTTTCCAGTAATAGATCCCATAGTTCAATGATACTTAAGGAATACGAAATAGGATAGTGTAGTTCTTAAACAATCAATGGTCCGTGCTACTTAATCTTAGCATGTGAATCAATCATAATCATCAGACAGAATTTCTTAAGTGGTCACAGAAGATCTTTTCTTTTCCCAGATAAGTGTTGAAATCACTTAAATGACTGAAACAGTTAGTCTTTTTGATATCGAAATGTCCGTATCATCATATTATTACTTATTATTACTCCCTTGGACCTCAAGTGGAACATAGGGCTTCAACAAAATATCTCCATTTTCTTCTGTTTGACGCTATCCTCTTCAGGTGGGTCCACGAATGACCATAATCTCTCATCTCCCCCTCCTCGCAAAATCTCCTCCATCTCACGATAGGGCGACCCACTCATCGCTTCTTATTGGGATTCCACTTGAGAAATGGCCTAGTGCCCGATGTCATTCGACAGCCTTCACAACGTATGCCCGATCCATCTCCACTTTCTGGTATATATTTGTTGAGCGATTGGCTCTTAGTTGGTTTGTTCCCACAGTTTCCTGTTAAGTATTCTTTCTGGCCTGCCATTTGATCTTCAGTATGAGGCCAGCGAAGGCAACTTTTGATGAAAGTCTGCAACCTGTTGGAAATCCTGTACGTGACACGCAGTGCAAGTTTCTGACCCGTATAGAAGAAGTGGCCGACTGGATTCACATTTGTGTTCAACAGCATCCGAATCGTGTTCTTCATGTTGGCCACGTGCAGTGGATTTCCAAACTGGTTTCAGATTGATCAAGGCGTATCTTACCTTTCCATTCCTGTCTGACTTTGACATCTTCATCCGTTCCAATTGCCTGAGGTTGAAACTGTGCTTCCTAGATAATTGAGGGAAGTAAACTAAATAAGTGTCAAGTCTCTCCTATTGATGGTGCTGGTTATTGTTTTTGTTGCTGTTCGCAGATTATCTTCATTGCCTCTGTCTTCTCTATGTTCACCTGGAATCCTGTGTTCGCTACCAGCCTCTTCTGCCAGTCTGTTGGTTTTCACCTGCAACTTCGAGTTTGTGTGACATTAAACATATATCACCCGCGAAATTCAGACCTTTTAGAGTCTTATTATCGGTGTTCCAGCGCATTCCTGTCTTCTCACTCCCTGTGACAGTCTGATGCATATTACAGTCCATCACAATTAGGAATATCATTGGTGATAATTGTCAGCCCTGTCTTACACCTGTACTCACTTTTAACGCCTCGCTGAGTTTTCTACTGTGGATCACCTGACACGTGGTAGAGTCAAATAGCCAGTTGTTGAATGAGATTGATAAAGACTTGGGCACTGCACGCCAAAGTTTTGAAGTAGTTTTTAGGCCTGCTGTCGAAGGTCTTTTTGACATCATCATCAAATACTATACTATTTTATACCATTACCATTTTGTTGTTTTGTTGAATTTTTCAAGCCGCAGTTCGTCAGAGTAATAAAGTGGATTCAAACAACTCTAGTTATACAAAATGCTGCGAAATAATAAACTATCAATGACAGTACATTATGATGAAAGATGAGGTGGAAATACCTAAATAAAAAGAATGACTGCTGGTCATTAATAGGATTTTGGTGACGTCAAAACTTGACAAATATTCAGCTTTTTGCTTATACTTCGTAATGTTAGGAAAATGTTTGCTTTTCATTTATTTATGCAGTAGAGGAATTAAATTTTTAACAGCTATATTTTGAGGATATGAATCCAAGTTAAGGCTGGTATTTCCAGACTCCATAACTGGTGACTTTCCGTCTGAAGAATGTAAGAACATCAAAGTTGTTTGAGAAAGTCACGAATGCTAGATTCTATGTTGACAACTTTTATCAGTGTTTCTAGGGACTGAAAATGCTAAAACTGTTTTAATCATTTCTTATTTACAATAGAGGCAAGTGGATACGAAAAATATATCATCAATAAAGACGTTTAATACTGAATTCATTACTGAAAGGCACATGTAGACATGAGGTAAAATCAGTGGAATAAAGTGAAAAACCAAATAACATCAGATGACTCTTTTATACTGTCCAGTGACCTATCGGTAGTGATCAATTAAAATCCCTAACGAAATTAAACCAGAAATCGTCCTGTCTGGAGCTTGACGTAGTAGCATTCAAATGCTGAGCTGAAGTTCAGTGGCTTCTGTAATTACACTGCATCATTAGCTAGCAGAAGTTAGTAAACATTCGCCGTTGTATTTCTGCCTAATAGATGATTAATAACATTTGCAGTGGGAGAGCTTATGGTCCTTTGCTCACTCACTCACGAACAGAATGATGATTGCGTACTGCAGATGAGCTCAGAAACAGAATGAAATGGCTATCCATTGCCCTTGTCTTTTGACACTTTCTTGGTTGGTGGTATACCAACTTCGAGGGAATCAGACACACCTCAGAAAGTTACAATTGGGCTTGATTAGCGACCTAGTGGTAATCAGCCTAAACAAGTGGTGTTTAACTATTCTCCATTTTTTCTTGATGATCCGTTCCATTTTTAGAGGTCAATTGATACATACATTCAAGGTTAATAGACCCTTATTAATAATGTCTGTTCGGTGACATAGATTTTATTTTCCGTCTTCCTACAAACACAAAATTAACTTCAGGAAAAAGATTACTATTTTGTTTATTTGACAGATTTTACATCCTAAATTGTCTTTAAACGTGTTCTCATTTGACGAAACTGAAATCGAAAAGAAACTTACATATGTAATGTACGAAATGTTTCAATCTGGTAATGGACGTCAATCACAGTATTCTGTATTCAGAAAAGAAAAAATATATTGGCGTGTTTTTAGTTGTTCAGTGTATAAAATTACGAATTGGACATTTTATTAATAATTTTTGATTTCAGAAACTATTAATCAGATATTTGTTTATAGTAGTGCATTCATCTACTTATTTTAAACAAAATGACTTGTATTCTGATTTTCAAAAACTATTATAACACTGATTACTTCCTACATAAATGGATGCGTAAAACGATTCCATTCCCAATATTATATGTATCACGGTCCATTTTAGTGTTACTTATAGTTACAATGGGAGCATAATTTACTTAATTAAATGCCAGCATATTACTTCGGGACGTCCGACACAACTTTGGAAGCAATTTGATATAATTCCACCATTTAACTACACCTTAGAATTATTTTCAAATTCTCTTAGATAGTCTGTACTTATTATTATGTTTCATTGTAACTCACAGGTTGGTGAATATAATTCAGTGTTTTTTCTATTTAAAAAGGTCATTTTAGAAAATCTGAAAAACAAAATCTATTTTTGCTTACCTTTGGTTTTATTCGAGACACTCGAAGAGTGAAGTAAACAGATGCCGTAGCCTTTGGTATAGGCGATCGTCTGCATGGCATGCTCCATTTCACTCGATATTTGTACTGAATTTCATATTTTAGTTCCACTTTAGGTAAAATATCGATGCAGTAAAGCCAGTTTTTATTTACTTCCCAACCCTGTTTTAAATAATTAACAATAATCATTGTTCAGATCACTGAATACTGATATTTACAACAAGAGAAAACAAACATTTCTTTGTATTTCAGTGCGTAAATAGGAAAACCGTTATAAAGTGATTTCTAAGGATACAAAGAAAAAATACAGTCCAGGTAAAAGATATTCGTTGAAATTTTAAATCAATGCATTGTTAACAAAGCTAGAGGATAACAATTTAGTTGCATCACTGTTTTATAGCATACGATCATCGTGAGATCAAATTTTCATTGGATATTCAGGACTTTAGTTCGACTAGATTCTTACTGTGTAGATATTCCATTAATAAAGTAATAGAGAAAACCCCAATACGAATACTATTTACCTTAATATATTCTTCTATTTTCTTAACTCCCAATTCACAAGTAAACTCTGCAATAGTAGGCCACTGTATATTAGGAGATGGTTGAGATGTATCTGTAAGAACAATTTTATTGGTGATTTCTTGTGCAGTTTCAGGTTTACAATGCAGCTGCTCCCACTCGTCGGAGATTTCGTCAAGAGATAAATTTTCAGATAAACTGTCCTGATCACTGACTTTAAAACTATTATTGAAGATAAAAGAAATAGGATGCTGTTGATTGATGCAAACAAATTTTCACACTTTTACTCAGTGCGAAAGAAACGAAAATTTAAAAAGAATAATTAAGACTTAATTTACTCCCTTATTTGCAGTCAGTTTATTCCGAATACTTTCGTTTCTGAATATAAGTCATCAAAATAGACGTACCAGTCATGTAGTGTCTATTCAGTACTTTAGCACACACCACTAGACAACGTATTTGTTAATCAGTCAGTCAGTCAGTTGTTTCACTACTGTAATCATTGCTAGGAATGTAAGAAGTGTAAGTTCCAGCCAAATTTCTTACTGAAAAGAGTTATTCATGCAGTTTAAGGTTTTTATTTATCACGATACCACTCAAACAGAGTTGATACTTGGTGCATTGAGTTCCTAGCAAGTAAACTCAGATTAACTTCCCAGATTCTATGCGCATTATCTTTTTGCACACGATAATACCATGATATTGTCAACATGTCGACTTTATAACAGAATATTTTACATTATTCCTGCAGAATTGACTAAAATTGTTGGGCTCTAAGGTTGTCTATTTTGAAAAAGTAGTTATCTTCTGTTCTCTGCATATTAGTTTTAATTAGTATTCCACTCCCGATTTTGAAATAACACTTAGTAGAATGATTTAAACTGCAAATAAACCAAGATGCACTCTGACATTAAACACCATTGGTAAAGTAGTGAAACTGAAACAGGAATATGTACCTTTAAATACTTTAGTGGAATATTTCCAACCGTCATTGAAAGCAGTTCAGTCAAATCAAACCATGCATCACATTTGAAACGTGTGTTAGAGTTTCATGTCACATTCAACGGTATTTTAGTCATTTTTATTATTGTGACATGATCTCTTCCAAACACTGTTCAGTTATTTGAGTTTTATCATAGTTAAAATCTTGCTTAAATTCCACTGAACGAAACTGGTAATGCACAGAAGTTGAATGCCTCTCTTAAAATGTCATCAAAAATGCAACTAATCGAATGAAAACTGTTTCCGTTGACTGAGCAAATATTGTAAAATTCCTATTCATATCCATCTTTATTTGTCTTATCTTATAATTAGCTGAAAATAAACAAAATTTATAATGATCCGTAATCAGACTGATTATTTTTGGTAGGAATGCTTATGAAGTACCTATTCTTCCAGTATTAAAGTTCATTCCTATTTAAATATGTATTTTGCTTTATAGGGATATATAAATTGATAAATCTAATTTAAATAGTCTTTAATGCTGACAATAGATATTATGCAAGCCACTACATATGATTATTTCATTGAGGAAAGTACTATTTTAAGACTATTAGATCTCTAGAGCTTCCCGACCACTTTTATGCCTTATATTTTGATGTGCGTAACAATCACTATTTTAATTTGAAGCATTGTGATGTAACTACTCAATGAAGTGTAACCTTCAGACTAGTAATCAGCGCAGTAACCAACAGATAAAATCTATGGTTTTTATAATATCATATTTCAGGTTATTTAAAATATTTCACACTTCTAAGTAAAACGAACCGTAGAAGAAGTAAACAGTTTAAACAGTAATGGAAAAATCTAATGGACTATTATGGGAATTGCTACTTACTTTAGTCTATTGTCTAATAAATCCTTTTCATATACACGATATAATGATGACTGTATAATTGAGGCTACCAGGCCGCGTACTGACACCGGTGGTTCATCTGGAACACTATCTTTCAAATTACTGTATAAGAGAGAGTAAAAGAAAGTGTTTCGAATACCTTAGTATGTCATTGTAAGTAAGATCATAATGCTTCATGCTTACCAATAAATATTCCACTGGATAAACACGTACTATGCAACATTTACCAGCAAATAAAAACAAAATAGCACTTTTCATTCAATTATTGTTCATCTTCTAGATACCGGAATTTCAGTGAGTTTGTTTTTTGTTTTCAATTCTCTAAACAGAGCTTCTCCAACCTATTCAGATATCTGAATATTATACACTGTAAGTTTGCTAACTGTGTTTTGTAATGTATTTCCATATTTACTTAAGGACACAAAATGCTCAGTAGCTGAGAGATTAAAGTTATTCTGGATAATATACTCATAAATTCAGAAGCCAATTTTCACCAGTTCATTTTTAAGCAAACAGTAAAAGAAATGCATACAGCGAGCGGTATGACTAACACCCTATCAGACTTCTATTTGTTTTATGTAGCGTGAGATATTAATGGATTGTTTAGAACTCTGAGTTCCATCGTAACGATGGTGAGTAGTTTCTGACATTGCCTGTCAAATCCCACTGGAAGGTAATAACAGCTTTATTCTACTCACTTTGTGTAGAGATAAGTTGGAGAAAACTGTTTAATTTAAATATGAAATTGTTAATTTGAGCAATAAGGCCACGACATCTATTTGATGATAATTCATCATAAATCGAACCCGAGTTCTTTACGGTTGAATCAAATAAAATAAGTGAATCATTTTTCTAGGTGGTTATCTATAAGAAGTTTAAATTTTTAAAAAGTTCTTTGAACTTACTCATAATAAAGTATAGAATGTCATCTAATTAATTTTAACATCAAATTGGTGATACTTAAAATATACTTCAAAAAATTTGGTGGGGCTTTTGTGATCTACCAGCCACAGCTGATAGTTTTCTATTCTGTGTGGCAGAATAAGGAGGTTCACATTTTTGTTTCGTTAATCAAGAGATGACTATAGAGATCATCTTAACAACTGTACCATCTACTTATTTTATAAACTCAACTTCTAACGGTGTGAATAGAAAAGAAGCGACCTCGTCAAAATAAAATTTGACTCTTTACATATTTAGCTCATAAAAATGAACCATTTTGAGAATAATATTCACTAGAATGTGATATCTGATGAGTTTGGCCTATAAAGCCATTTTGTACAAGATGTCTGCACAGGTTAAATATTTGCTTTTGCAGCACAAAGAACAAAAATCTTGAATAAAAAACATTATTGTTTGCTTTACTTAGTCACTTTCACTAATATTTAGGCGATTATACACAACATTAGCAAAAGTTCACTACAATAAACACACTTATGTATTTAATGTCATGCTTAGCTAATGGCGCTTTAGTGAAATTAGTATTACGTGAATAAATCCATAAATATTTTAAAAAATTATAACATTAGTTAATTTACCGCATAGTCTCACAATAAAATGGATCATTTTTAAAATTTGGATCATTAGTATCAATTTTTAATCGATTAACATCTACATGTTGTACTTCATTCAGAGCTGTTTCAATAACAGAATCGACAAACGGTTTTATCGAGTCCATTGATTTATTTGGGCTTTTATTTTTCTTCTTGTCATTTGAGCTTTCAAATGTTTCCTGAAAAATGAGATAAAAACCTTGTTTTCTTCATGTATAAATCTAATTAAAACATTCAGAAAAACACTACTAATAGGTATCATTGATGTATAATATAGTCAGTTAAATAATTTTATATATTTTAATATTTATGTAGTCAGACAACAAACATACTCTGGAATTACTGGAATTTATCATTATTCAATAGATTGAAACTATAAAACAAAGCAATCAAAATATCAACAGTTCACTTTTCCATTAAATAAAATGAAAAGAATGAATTTTCAAAAAGGATTTTTCTTTCTAATTTTATTAGTAACACAATATATTAATAATACAATAAGCTTAACAAATAAACAGTTATACTGACTGATTTCTTTGTTTTAACTGATTAAGTAAGTGGCGAAAAATCGTTATTTTCTAATGTCATGGATATTGTATTGACAAAATATCAAGTTGTTGATGCATCGGCTACCAAATAATTTCTTCGTTTTTAAAGAGTTTTTTCTGAAACTAGTTGATTCATTTTAGACTCTGAAAAAAAAAATGAAATAGTCACTTTATAGCCATATATTTGTGTATTACAGTAAAGTAACAAAATATTCTCTCCAGCAGAATAAATGATTATTAATATAAGGCTTGATAAGTAAAAATATTCTGAATCTCTATCTTATTCATGAAAAGAACTTCCGCTGATGGAATAATGATCACTCTTGGTCTATAAGTGAGAAAACAACTTAAAATACTATAATTAGATTATTTATGTTTGTGCAGTTGCTTCTTAGGCGAATCATCAATGACAAATAAGTGTAGACACTACTTTTATTTTGAAAACATACCCTATTTGTATGAAAAACAGATTTAATTTTTGAATGCCTTTTCATAAATTGAATTCAGTAAATTATATTTTACTCCATAAAATTCAAAATTATCTTTGAACATATTTGGTAGTAGAAATAAGTTGAAGCATATTTTTTCAGTTCTGTGAAACAGGTGTTTGACATAAAATCAGATATACTTCACATCAGTCTGTTTACTGTGTGAGATAAGTGAAATCATTATTCAACATGAGATAATGTCAAAACCAGTCTAGGCAGATACAAATACAATCAGTTTCTATGTATAAATGTGATTTGTTCACTAAGACGTTAGTAAAACCTGAGCAGAATCAAATAATAACTAAATTCTCAGTTGACTGAATTCACCTAAACCCTTTAGATAGATAAGTTCCCGAAGGTTTTAGTCAAATTGAAACGGTACAAGACAACGACTTGGTAAAGGGATGTTTACTTGGAAAGTGGTATCTCTATATAGCCAAATTATGTACATCTTATCTTCAACGCACCATCTGCACAGATCTTCGTGTTGTGATACTTCTGGACTTCATGTTGTGTTTCTTCGTGTTCTTTTCACTTCTCCAATTTACCTCCACAATGCTGTATCATTTGCCTTCTCTAACATCAAATGTATCTCCCTGCTATTTGATGTTTTATGTCACTGAACGTTTCTTTATATACTACTGATAAATATTATAAAGACCACTCGCCACACTCGTCCCCTCAACAAATAGTTTCGAACGGAGCCGTTCCGACCTTCTTGGTTCTACCTCTTCCTGTTGTACCTTTGTCCGGGCTTCCTTATCCCACTGAAACCATTTCTGCAGTTGGCTGATGTTAATCCCTTTGTGTTTATTTCCTCTTTTAATGGCGTATACGGGACCACGTCTCTTGGTGACAGTATATGTTCCGTCCCACTTCCTGAGGAGTTTCTGTGAACCTGGCCCACATCTCACCGCGTCCTTCCTTTCTCTACACTTTACTTGATCGTTAACCCCAAAGGTTCTGCATCGCATCTTCTCTCTATGTTCTGATTTCATGGCGTCTTTCTTCTGTTTACGCTTCACATTCCTGACGACTTCTTTCCGTTCACAGCCTTGTCATAAAGTGATATTCACAATTTAATTAAATGTCTGAAACAGTGGCTAAATAAATAAATATTTCTCAGTTAACAGCTGATTAAAACTAGGGTGTTTAGAAACAACATTCACAGTTATTAGAAGTCATCATTGTGCTCTCAAACAATACTCACCTTCTAATAACTGTTTAGCTGAAGGCTACTAGTTGCAAAACAAAGCAAGGCAAATTCATTCTTTTCATGAAGCATATATATATAGAAAATTTACTAAATTATTCAGTATATACGAGTCAATTTAGTTAATTAGCATTGTGAAGATATTCAACATGCAGACACACACACTGAATACAGAGAGGTCTGAACTACAAAACTAACTTTTCGCCTCAAGCCTAATAGTATACAACTCGCCTTTACAAAATTTTTTTCTCAGTCAAAGAACTTAATTTCCTGATTTTTACGATAACCAAGTGAGTTCATTGATAAAAATGGCGTGACACATCTTGTCAAAGCAAACTACCGTGTTAATTGATATTAGCTCATTCTCTGGTGACTGAAGCACTTTATCAGGTCACCTTATTAATAATTATTAAAGTCAGATATCACCCAGTGTACAGTTTATCTAAGGTGAACTTAACTCAATGAAGTCCTCTCAAAATTGGATAATAGAGGTAGGTAAGTAAATGTACTCAAATACTATCAAATTCTCTATTACCCCATGCTGCACTTAGACAAAGCGAATTTCATTATAATTATTATTTATTTATTACCGTGAAGTAACTTCCATAAAACTACCTCCAGAAATAGCACTAATGATCTTCATTTGGAAACTAATAAATGTATATTTATCCTTATATCGGTTCAATGTCAGTTCAGGAAAGAGTATCAAAACATGACAGACAAACAGAACATAAAGCAATAAGATGAAGCCACTCTAAAGGATTTAACAACAAAATGAATGACACTGTGCAGACTGAAGAAATTAACTGCCCTTACAATCATGAATATTTCTTACTGTTAATAACATGAATATGAGAATCAAAGGAATAATTAGAAATAAACAAACATACACATCTCTGATAATTCATTCCAAATTTCGATATATTTGTCATATAGTTTAACGCCTTTGCCCAATCATTTTCCCAGTCCTCCCGTTTGTAGACATTTTTACAGTTTTTCAGTTTTTTAGCAAGTTCTTCATTATCCTGAGTAATGCGTTTGACCTCTTTCAGTCTTTGCCTCTTATTTAAGCTAAATTTATTACATAGATTTTGGAGAAGAAAAAAGAAAAGGATCACTTGCAGATGCTTGCACATGTGTAGAAAACACTGTTAATACACACACCAACCTAACCTTTTTGCAACGTAATGATTTCGATTGTCAGTATAGCCACTTCTATGAATTTCATGCATTCTCTTCAAAAGTCGATTATTCTCTTCTTCTATTCTGTTCAAATTTTCTTTCTCAATCTATTTCGTAATATATGTATGCGCATAAGTATTATTTCACTAAGCATATAAAACAATTACACGACTTTAAAAGTTGGTCATTTGTTTAATTATTCAATGATTTATTTCCAACAATAAATTATTTCACTTACTCTTTGTGTTTTAGAATGGAAATGAATCAACTGGAATGTTTTGGGTGCGGTTGTGTCCACTGTTGGTTTCATTTCAGCCAACTAAACAATAGTAACAAAAAAGCACGAACGGGTTTTTTGTTTAAATGTAACGCTTTATATTTTAAAATGTTTGAAAAATATATCAAGTAATAAATAGTTAAAACAAAATAAAATTCTAACATTAAACGTACAGCTACTGCCAATACGGCTACTATTACTACTATTAATCCTAATAGTAACAATAATAATGAATATTTAAATCTACTACCCCTGTGAAGTTGGTGAGTCAGTCATCTGAGGTTTCGAAATTTCAGACACATGGCCTAGACTGTAAAATGTGATCACTTATTTGGAGTCATAATGCAATTCCTGCTGCATAACAAAAACTTAGAAATATCTTAATGTATTAAAACCTATTTAAGATGAGCAGTAGAATTTCTATATACTTTTATTCTTCAAAGTTTCGACAAACCATAACCAAACCACATAACCTCCGGTCTCTTAAGTTGAGTGTTAGTCATTGATAAATAAATGCATCTAAGTTCAGTGTGTATGAATATCTTCTCGATTTGGTTAGGAAACACTAATAGTTGTCTCCACCATCCTGCTGATCTGCTTGCTCCGTTGATTTGCGTTGATGTTAACAAACTGGTCTGAATATTTTAGGATTGCAAAAGGGAACAGAGTTATTTTTAGATTTTCTCAAAACTCATGTAAATTTTTAGCTGTTATCTTTTCTAGATGGCATACAGCAAAAATTGGAAGGATATTTCAGGCTATCAATAAATGTGTTTCTGAATGAGGAACAGCACCACAAAAGCTCGATTAAAACTATTTGACGACATTAGAATAGAACTAGATATTGGTTGATTGTTTGTACTGTGCGTGGTGTTAACGAATCACTTTATGTATGTATATATATGCTCATGATTCTCCCCTGATATATTTATGTTCCCTTTAAACGTTTTCACCTGATATGAAACCTTTTGTGTTTGCTACTAATTTACAGAAGCTATACATCCATTTAGGCTTTGAAAACCAAATACCAGATTACTCATATTAATTGCATATAGTATTCTTATTTGAAACTTACTGCTTTTCTGTGTACATCCTGAAATCTTTTGTCAAATCTATACTGAAGTGTTCTGTTTTGACATGGTTTCACAGAATAATGTAAATTATGCATCTTCCAAGTTTCTGTATGTACACTAGCAATGTTAATATTGGAGAAGGGTGGGAAAAGTAGAAGTAAACTTCAAAAAGTCGGAGGTTTGAAAAACCAGATCTGCAGAATCCTCCAGTTGTGATTTATCTAAGGGAGAAACACAAACAGTAAACAAAATATTAGTACAAGTTCCTCCTCAAAACTATATAGTACTATAATGATGACCAGAATGATATACATGAGACTTCTTATGTTCATTGTGAAAGTCAACGTTTTTCAAATCTTCATATTATCAATGGAAGTAGATGCCAGGATGAACAGAACAGTCAAATCCACACATTCATAAAACGAGGGTGAATTTTGTTGTTGCTACCTATTTTTTCCAATAGTGCAATAAACTGAATTCAATAACATTCCAAATAAAAGTTACTTTAACATCATGTCACTTGAAATAACAGACATTTTAGATGCCCGAATTTTCTCTTAAATCATGAGCATGACAATGATAATAGACATTTGATGACTTAATGGTTTATTAATCATACAACTTACACAACCATCTAATATTAAACGACAGTTGATCAGTGCCTTCTGTAGCAATAATAATAATTATTTGCATGCCATAAGTATTTAAATTTAAGATGGTATACCGGTGTAACTTTACAAAGACTCACCTAATTTGCTGATCTTAGTTTTAATCGAATAAAATGGTGGAAACTAAAGACAGTCCCATAAATGATTATGAATCAAGTGTATCCTTTCTTGCTGAGGCCTATTAGGTTAAGTTTTTTGGTCATGTAACAAAACTAGTATCAGGATTATATTTGTGTAAACGAAAAGTTTTGAATAATATATATATACATATATATTTGTATATATATATATGTATATATATATATATATTCATCACCGTGGTGAGTGACCAGACTTTGTATTACGCAAAGGTAATATTTCTTTCTTCATTAAGCAATTTAATTCGTGTGATAATTATAATAGCAGTCTTTCGGGTCTTATTTTCTGTAAATATCTTTTCGTTAAAAACTCATATGTGACAATGAAGGAGGTTGGTTGATCTATAACAAAACTCCTAAATAAAACTGAACGAAAGAGGACAACCTAGGTGGCCAAAATTTCCTTATGATGAGTAATTTAAAACCAACCACTATGTGGTCATTTTTACATCCATTTGCTATAGATTTACAAACTCTCTTTTTAATATATCTGTAGGATATGAAAGCTTATGTCTGATTACGAAAATGACGAATATTCGAAGAATACTTGGCTGAAAAAGAACAATACAGCTTCTAGATTTGGACGAAAATAATTTCACATATAAATACACACTAACCAAAATACTTAATAACTCTGTGATATCAGACTTTTCAGTAGCCAAGCTTTGCTTTTATTTTTAAATACGAAGCAAAACACACCTATCTACAGTTGGCATGATATTGTTCTCAGTGACGAAGCAGGCACCCTGTGGCCTATAAATGTTTCACAACAATAGTGTTTCATCAGCATCTTCACTGCAGCAAAACAGAACAGTGAAAGCTTTAGGCCACAAAATATAAGGACATAATACTTTCGGTGCCTTTAAAGAGCTTTGTGTGCTGATTTCAGCAGAACCTATTACGCAAGTTGAAAACTCACTGGTGAAGTATGATAATATATGCTTTCTTGTCAGAATAAAACTAGTGAAAACAAGTGAAAAAGGGAAGAGAAACAAAAATGCCTGCTACTGACCATTATTCACCACAAGTAATGGCTATAAGGTGTTATGGATATTAGGCAGAATAATAAATTTGCCTAGAAAAAAAATATATGTTGCGTATATTAACATACTTTCCAATATAAAACTATTTTAAACCGTCTCTCATGGATATCTGTGAAACCGTGAGGCTATGGTATTCTGTAAACTGTTTTCCAGCTTGCTGGTAGAATTGTGTTCGATATATAGAAAGCTCTCGTCCGCTTATATGTGGATAGAGTATGTACTATTCGCAAACACGGCATTTTTCATTCTGTTGAGTTACAAATATGACGCAAAATGAAACTCAAGCTTATTTGATTCTTGAAGAGATATTACGAAATATTGAGACGTAAAACATCCTCAGAAACTTAATCGTGTAGGTTATAATACAAGTTGACTCTCCGTATAAAGCGATGAAAAAGATACGTTGCAGCTTTTACGCAAAATATCTTATCAACATTCACCAAGTGAAACTAAACTCAAAATCATACGAACACTTACTTTCAAAAATTCACGGCTTCTAGTTGTTAGTGGCTAGAAGTTCTAACAACGTTCAATATCCAATACTTTTTCGGGAGCAGGTTCAAACTGATTTCCTTAGATTTGTGTCTTGATAGTAGCGAAGTGCTCATTGAAACCTGGCGAGCTTCTGCATATTCAGCAACTTCTGCCCACCTCGAAGCAAAGGCATCACAGTTGCTGTCAATAAACAATCATAGAGATCCATCCTAGTTACAGGCAGAATGAATATAAGCCTGAAGTCACTTAACATAGGAGGCTGTTGTATCTTACTTCCGGATTGGAAATCTCTATCCATTCAACAGTCCATCTCTACATATATAGATTCCTAGTTATATATGTTTACGTACGAGAACTGCTCGAAATCTGTTGATGTTAAATGTTGGTCCGTTCTCTTTAGTCCGATTGTACATGTCTTTCAGGTCTTCCTGTGACTTAATAGAGTCTTCCTCATTCCTCCAGTTTTTTCATAGATCTGCACCATCTAGAGGACTCCAGTTATTTCGTGAGTAGTATGGGAAAAGAGAGAATAACTGTGTAAGAATATTTGCTGCTTGTGATACTCTGGTGGTCGAATTTTTTTATGTATAGAGTACTCAGTTCACCTTCGCATGAAATAACCTTCACTGAAGGCAGGCTGCAATCTAAAGTAGCACTGAGTTACTGAATCTTATTTTGAAGGATTTATAGAGTTAGATAAGTAAAGCACAGAGTCTAGAGTATTCGTTAGATCTAAAATCAAGTAATGGGCTAGAGCGTCCTGGCCTCGACAGGCTGTTCAGTTCTCTTAAGTTCTCAACAGATTTTTAGCGCACTACCGATCGTCCTTAATCCGTGTTGCGCTTCATGCAGGAAGTTGGTTTTATTCTAGCATTCATCAAGTGGGCTTTGCGGAACGTATACTATTGTTGGAAGTCAAGCTACAGAACCACATAAATATGTCGATTCACCTTCTCCTAGCAGAATAATCAATTTCCGGTTCCACTGGAATAAAGGTCTATAAAATGAAAGCGGCAAAAGACATCAAAATAGGAAACAAAGACCAGTAAAATTCCCCTTGCGACCTATTGATGTCAATATATTTTAGGATACGGATTAAAAATATGTAAAATATTTCGCCATCATGAATGTAAATGATCACATATTTGTATGGTCAGTAGAAATATAACACGGTGAAACAGTATTATTTACTGGATGACGTTTCGAACAAAATTTATTGTTCGTAATCACATGACTTCGAAACTTGAATTTTATAGTTTCCTTTATTCTCTCCTATTTGTCGTAGGAGTAGTGGAATCTTCCAGATGTCTGGAACAGGTGTCGAATCATTCCTATTACACGTATTTACATTTGATTCGATAAACAAAGCTTCTGTTATCAATCTCTCCCTCCAACCTGTTGCATTGGATTTTAAAACTATCATCTTATCCCATACTATTGTATGGTTGTATGTAATTGCATGTAAGGCTATAACTGAACCATCCTCTAGATTTCTTATCTTATTCGAGTCAAGCAATCTAGATTTTGCTGGGCTTTTATGCTCGGCTAGTCTGACTGCCCCTGTTCTACTACTTTGACCTATGTATTTGACCTGACAATCACTGCAGGGTATTAGATGAACTGAATTGTTTCATTTTAAAGGCTCCACAGGATCCTTTAACCGACACACCTTGTTTCTGATTGAGTTTGTGGCTTTGAATGCCGTTTTTATTCCTGCCTTGTTAAGAATTCTGCTTAAGGTTTCCTAGGTTCCTTCCTGGTATGGAATTACCACTGATGATTTAGATTTCTTATTGTCGGTGTTGTCATTATCTCGCTCATGTTCGAAATGTATGTCGTCATTAATAATACTATTATTATTATCACCATCACTATTATTATTGTTTATTTTATTTTATATTTTCCTACATACTTTCCGACTAATTTATCAGGGTAATTATTAAGTTTCAAAGCTTCTCTTATACGCCTCACTTTCTGTCTTAGATTTTCCTTGGTACTACTAAGTTTTTGTGATCTATCACTTAAACATTTCTCCAATCCTATTTTTCATTTTTCAACATTTCACTAATCACATTTTCACTGACATGAGGTGGGATGATCGGAAGTCCGAATATCTGTTTGACTGTGTGGCTTTCCTGTAAATCCCAGTACTATATAGCTTTTTCTTCTTGTAATTATCTTTTAAATATACTTCAAACAACGTATTATCCATAACTGCATTTTATACCATTTTGCAGCTGTCCAGGTTTTTCTTCTCTTCTGAAGTAACACTGAATCACCTGTGGGCATAGCACTCAATCAAATATATGTTGTTTATCGTATGGCCATGACTAGCATCACGAAATGGAACGAAGTTTGGGTTGGCGCTCACCTTCGATGGTAACCTTAGTGAAGGGTTTACAGTTTAAGATTTATACGAATATGTTCACATTGCTTTCACTATATTTCAACAATTTGAACTTTTGAATAAGTTATAATCTTTGCTAATTCACAGTTGTATTTTGCAACATTATTGATCGTGCATGTAAAAATGGCGTGCATTTCATGTAAACTCACTCGCTAATATGAAATATAAATCATTATTTCAACTCTCATTGGAATTTCCTTAAGTTCGGTCTAAGGAAGGTTTCAGCATGTTTTTTGTCCTAAACCTGTGGGTTATTGATACGCTTTAGCACGCGAGTCCTATAGATTTTGTGTTTAATCGACGAGGATTGTCGTCGCTTCTTTTCCATCTACGTCACGAGCGGATTAAGCCGAAATATTTCGAAGATTGCAATGATTTCCAGAGGCTTTGGTGAAAAAGTGATGACGAGTGGAAGGCTATTAAATTGACTATAGTTTTGAAAGTCTACGGTACTTTTCGAAGATGACAAGAAAGGTAGAGTGTTTTACAGCTTCACCGATATCGAAGTAGCCACTAGTGAAGTTTGGTTAGGTGTGACAAAATATCCTACAAGGAAGACAAAAGAAGACTTTGTTTCCTTTACCTGGAGGTACTGATATCAACAAACGCCATCACCTTCTAGTGCTCCAAAAATGCCTAACTGAATTATTTCCCTACAGATACGAAAATTTTGAAACGGTTTCTAGACATCAGAGGAAGCTATGATTTTAGATAGCCCTTAAAGGTGGTTGGCAGTGAGTTGCTGACCCTTTTTAAAAAAAATTGATCGCTATGTATTTAAAACTACTCATAAGTTTCGGGATGTGGCAAAGGTAATCGTCTCAGGTGTCTATGAATAATTTCGGTGCTGTGACGAGAAGCTTCTAAAAACAACCTCATATAGAGTCGGCCGTAACTTCTGAAACTGTAATTTTGAAAGGAACTACTGTCACCTACAGAGGTTTGAGAAATAAAGGTTACAAATTCCAAACTCATAAAATCGTGGATTAAGAAGGAAGCTATGCGGGGACTGTTACGACACATATTGATGATTGTAAAATTTGTGGTTTCTGCAAAATTTAATGGTCTTTGATTTTTAGGCACTTCGACTGACCTACAGTGAAATGGTGCAAATTTCTTCCTTAAAATAAAATACCGCAAAAAGTATTGGAAATATCCTAATTTTTCCAAAATAATTTTCACAAACTTTTGTGGATTTTCCGTTCCCCTTAACAAAGATGTATTTCACATAAGGTTTACGCTAGCCTAACATACTCTGTCCGACGCAAAATAAAAGATGTTACGACTATTTCAACAGCAGTCGTGGAATGCGTTGAAAATGCCTATCATTGCTGCAGCAGTACTAGTCATTTGTGAAGCGAAGCGTTAAGTGCTGTAGTGAAACTAAGAAAGTAAAATTATTCGCTGAACGAATACGAGTAGTGAGGTTAAATGCCCAAAGCACCATGGAGTAAGAAACTTGTACTACATCAGCATCTTTTTCAGCATCCACTCACTAAGGAAAAACTCATTAGTTCTGGTACTGCTTTCGCATTGTAACATGTTTGAAGTTCATGAATCCAGTCTGCAATATGCATATAACTAGAGGTATTTAATATGAATCATTAATTAAGTCAACAAACTAGCAAAATATCACAAATACAAAAAGCTGAAATCAAGAAATCTACAACCTAACTCGGCTGAAATTTTCTGTCACGTCCAAGGTCATTGGTGGAGTCAGACGCTTAAAGGGCATTTTCGTCCATGTTAATCGACCTTGTTGGATTGCAGTTCCGTAGCCGTTCGTTTACACATTGTTTTTTTACGTTTATCTTTCAGTTATTCACAACTAATCTTCATACGTATTGTTCACAAATGTTTCGTTTCACCTCATTTTTGTTTCCGTTGCTGTTGAAATCAGTTATATCGTTGGTTTCGAGAGTTTTTAACACCAGGTAAGTGCATTCGTTGCATTGTTATTGTTTCATACGTTACTTTCATGCATGGTTTCAGGGTTTTAGTTGTTTTTCAGCTATCAATGAATTAGTACTGTGTAGGAGTAGACTATTGGTGTAGGTGAAATTACCCTCCAACTATCCTTTCTTCCTCATTATAGCGATATTTCGATACGGCCGCCTGAAACACTAATCATTGCAACCAATATGCTAAGAGTGTGTCACAGTCAGATCACATGACGCGGACACCAACATAACTAGCCAGGAAATGGGAATTCCCATCAATTCAGATAACAAATAACAAAATTTTATTGAAAATTATTGACGAAAAAATTTCCAATCGAAATTTCAACAGAACGTGATATATAAGTCCAGCCCCTAACTCAACCCTTCGCAAACAAACGTTCGGGCGCGTTAATAGAATATGACGCAACAGGTGAGACTCGGCGTGTTACTGTAACCCATGCAGGAAGTGGATTACCCTGGTAAACATTTATAACGGCACAATAAATTCACAGTTCGTAACATAACACTACACTGACTAGGTAGTATCGTGTGTCGTAGGGAGAATAGTTCAAAAACACCACTGGGTTGCTAGAGATATTTCGGGCATTCGGGTTTGTTTTAGAGGTATTTTTCGGGTGACATAAGTATAATTTTGGAGCATTTAGTAGCTCTGCTGCAAACATTGGTAGTTCTCCATAGTTTGAACTATGGGCGAATATCGGCTTTTACTAAGCCTTTTTATTCTGTTGAGTTAGCCTTTGTATCCCCTCATTTTGTCGCTGGTTCTAAATAGGTGCTCAACGTCTGTAATAGATTCGGTCGCAGTAGCTGCTATTATTTCACTTCACCCTGGATCTAATAAATGGAAAATAACGCATGTGTGATAACACAAATACGACGGTCGTTGTTGTTTCTTTCAAAATTTCCACTGCACCACCATTTTTCTGTTGATCTCATAAAATTAAAAATATTTTTAAGTGGGTTTACGTAATACCCCATATCCATTTTTATTACTCTCTACGGAACAGTTGACCGGTCAGGAAGACTTACTCGTATTCTGATTAAGTGAACTGCATAATTTTAGCGTTCTGGACTTATGTGTGTAAAGTTCTACGGAATAATCAGGTGCGAATTGTAACAGTTTTATATTTGCAATTTCGATGATACATTTCACCTATATCAGCTCATAAGTAGACAGAAAGACTGCGAAATTTGTCACGAATCATCTATTTGTGATCGGTGTTTCCAAGTGAGCTAGTATTTACGTTGAGAACGTGACAGAATGATACAATTACTGCGCCAGTAAGAGTTATTATGAAAATAACTGTGCAATGGTTGTTTCGATTCATCTCATAACTCTATTTGGAGATATGATATTCGATCTTTTCACACGAGTCTCCCAGAATCGTGCCATATATTTCACAATGTTGTAAATCCTCTACATCCCAGTAGTTGGTAAGTCATTCCCAGCTGGTTGCAGTAAGAAAGTGCGATTTTCTTGAATATTGTAATTCAAAATGATTTGCAGCTAAATTGCAAAGTTTATAAGAGGACCAAATTCTGTTACATTATGTTTTAAAAAAATTCCTTTGAAGATGGAGAAACTGATACAGTCGATAAATAGCAAACTCAAACAGTTGGAGTCACTTGCCACACCGGAAGCAATACAGTATGTTGCAGAATGCCTCAAAGTACGAAACGAAGAGTTGTTAAACAAGATAAGGTCTCTGAAAGATGCCGTTGTTCAACAAGAACTATTACTTGGGTGTTAGTCAAATTAATTTATAAATATTTTCTATAAATAGTAAATCAGCATGAAAACCGTAAGGCAGTGTCAAGCGCCCCTACCCTGGGTGACAATTTGTCGTCAACTAATGCCAAACCCGAGAGTGAAACACCACATACAGGTTGGTTAATAATTTTCTTTTCATTGTGTTTATCCGTAAGATTCAGTTTATAAAAGTTAGTTGATTACTCAGCTATTCTGTCATTTTACAAAACATCTGTATGGTGTATATAAATTATTATGACAGGTGTGTTACGGAATGCTAGTGTCATCGTTTGCAAATAAAACAACTCACCTATGCATTACTTTAAATCACATTTTACAATATGGTACCCCTGTACTCGTGAAAATAAAGTCCTTAAAGATACAACTCTATTAAGCGGTTCCATTTAAGTGAATGCAGTTGATAACATTATGCAGCGAATTTTATCTTTTCTAGGCAAATGCACCAAGTTCTTTGATTTCTTCATTTCAGAGTTCCAGACACCATTAAACTTCAAACCTAACTTTTATCTTGCACTTAGATCCATTCATATGAGTAACTACGTAAATGAATATATATATATATATATATATATATATATATATATATATATATAGGTATGATAAATGTTTAAATAATATAGGGTGGAATCTTCGCTCAAAGCTAAAATGATGACTTTGTGTTGGTTTGGATATATTGTTGCACAGACTCCTTTAGCCAAGCAGATCTCATGGTTGGTTCTGGTAGACGTGATACCCTCCTATCAACCAAAGAGTGTGTATACTGTTCAGCAGTCCGCTCCGTCCTCTATGTCTGTGAGGCGTGGCCATCGAAAGTGGGAGACATGTTAAGACTAGCTGTCTTTCATTTGCGTTTTATCTTCCGTCTTGGGTGGTATAATAGGGTGAGCAATATTGAGGTTAAGCATCGGTCGGGTGCTAGGTAGGTGAGAGGAGAAGTCAATCGACGAGTTTGTAAAACCACCGATTGAGATGGTTAGGGCATGTCTTATGCGTGCGTAGGCATAGCCTCCCTCAACCAGCAACGTTAGCTGACTGACATAAGATCAGGTTGGAAAAGAGCCAGTGGTGGTCAAACTAAAACATGGCTTCGTTGGTCAATGAAATCTACAACAGTTAGTTTAAGCCACGTAGGGAGGTGTAGATTACCAGCTTGGTTGGAGTCCTCGGGATGGTAAAAAACAGTAGCTGGAGGCACTTAATGAAATAGCTCAAAATCTTTCTCAGCGACGCAGATGCATTCACTTTTTGTGATTTATCATATCCTATAAAACTCAGTTTTTCTCCATATTACTGCAATTTTCGCCTCATATCTCTGTTTATTATCTCTCGTTTGAATCTCTGCATACTCTCTTCCCTTGCATTGTGCGCTACATGGAGGAAGTGTGAGTACTCGAACTGCTGCACATCTGTGCTAAGTTCTACGTTAAAACCAGTTAGTCAGGATATTTAAGTATGATTCGGAAAATAGCATATAAAAGGAGATTCAGGCACATATCCTTAAAATAAACTTATTGATTCCCAGTGAAGCTGCAAATGTCTACATTTCCTCTCTGGGGTTGTTAATGCCCTTATTATCTTGGAAAATCACGTTGAGTTTGTCTATGGCGATTGTTTTTGGATGTCGTCTGAATAAAACAATATAAACCATCCCCATAACAATGAGAATAACGTGGTGAAAATGATGTAGTTCAGTGGCTTAAATACTCGACTTTCAGCTAGTAGGCCTGGGATTCGAATCCCACTCCAACTACTTTGACTGCGGCAACTGAGTAGTATCACGAGCCCTCACAGTCGATATGGGTAGTAGACTGGTGGATTGAGAATATTTCTGGGTTAACTGAGATATCTTCATATTGTTTGTGTCCCCTGTAACACAGACCTGAAGCGAAAAAATGTAGTGGTGCAACTCAACAACCACTTGCGATTCCATGCAATGTGCCACACCTATTTTGTGAGGGCTAGTGATATTACCTGGCTGCCACAATCTTGGTGGGTTTCGAACCTATGACTGGTTGGAAGTAGAGCACCTAGATACGTGATATTATTCAATGAAATTTTTAGTCTGATTGCTACTTTTATGTATTCTTTGATCATTTTGTTATTAAGTGCTTTTCAAAATGTTCATACTGAAGTGAGTTCGATTTCAGTGTGTAACACTATAATTCAGCTTATCATTGAACTATAAGGGTGATATTTATTAGGAATATGAAGATAGGCTTTCTTATTAGGTTTCAGACATCATGTTAGAAACTCATTATTTTCATTTCTAAGGTTCTGTAAAAACAGATCAAACATTGCAAAAGCAGAAAGAGCCTGTGAAAAATAAACCCAGTGCAAACGAACGTAAGAAACAGGAGGATAAAACTCAATCTGCTGAAAAACCAGTTGATATTGGGCGTCTGGATATGCGTGTTGGCCGAATAATTGATGTCAGTCGTCATCCTGATGCTGACTCTTTATATGTAGAGAAGGTGAGTTATTTTTATTTTAGTCATTTTTATTTCCCAATTCATGGAGATATACTTCCATCTCAGATAAACAAAACTTAACCGATCCTACCGTGAATGCATGATATACCAATCCACGTGTTGTGTGACTCATATTTTTGTGTTTTCTACTATGTCATATTGTGAAGACCTATTCTGTTGGTTTCCATCACCTAACTTTCGACTAATTGATGTCGTGCTCGAACTAACCCCTACTTCATGTGGTTTATTATGTAGTACATTAACATGTATGACGTCTACATTTACTTTATCATTTGATTGCTTATTGTTCTTTCTAGGTGGACTTAGGTGGAAACGATATACGAACTGTTGTCAGTGGTTTGGTTAAGTTTGTCCCAATCGAGCAACTACAAAATCGAGTGGGAATATTTATGTGCAATCTTAAACCTGCCAAAATGCGTGGTGTCGAATCCGAAGCAATGCTAATGTGTGCAAGTGCTCCTGAGACTAGTGGAGTTGAACCTCTTATAGTTGAGTGTCAGGATATACAGTTGGGGGATTCAGTTATAGTAGATGGTTTTACGCGTAAGTAATTACAGTTTGCTGATTTGAACATGAAAACTAAAATTGTTAAATGTCATTTTCATTAGCAAAGTAATGTTTTAGTAACTGTTATGCTTCTCGATTTTCCACACTAATTAATCCGACGTCTTTCAGTATCAAGTGGGTACCGGTGTTAAACTGTTTTGTCTAAATGTTTTCGTAGTTATTCTGACATACTTTACTGATAGTCGATGTCTGTCTGTCTGTCTGGATTCAACATAGAACTTGGCACCGAAGTGCAGCAGTTCGAGTTGCCACGTTCCAAATAGCACACAAAGGTAGACAGGAAAATGAGAGAAGAGAATCAATAGAATTTAGATAAGTATAAGAGTGAAACAGAATGAGTAATGGTAGAAAGGAATATGAAGGTTAAAGAGACTGAATACATCTGCGCCATTGACAACGATTTTGAGCCATGTCACCTATTGTCTCCAGCCATTGATTCTTAGAGTCCCGAGGGCCCCAACCCGGAAGTCTGCATCTCCCTACCTGACCCAGTTTAACTGTCAGGGATTTCATGGATTGATGCCATGTTTTTGTTTGGCCACCGCTTACTCTTTTCCAACCTGCACCTATATCAGCTAGTAATGCCCGTCGGGGGAGACGATGGTCAGGCATGCGCAGCACGTGGCCTAACCATCTCAATCTATGTAACTTCATAGCCTCTTCGAGTGATTTTCCCTCTTTGCCCAACACTCTACGCCTAACGTCAACATTACTTACCTTATTATACCACCTAACGTGAGAAAGAGATCGTAAACAACTGTGGTCAAAAACAGACAATCTCTTCATGTCTTCAGCTCTCAATGGCTACGTCGATGTTCTATACTCCGTGACACAATGTTGATTAGTAGTAGGTCCCAAGAACTTGTATACTGAGTGAACTCATATCCCAATGAATGTTGGTATTCCTGCTGGAACGTGGCCCAGTATCATAGAGTGTTTACTGTGTTAAAGTTGTCTAGGTTCAGTAATAGCCTGTAAGAGTCCTTTCATCCATAATTATTTCTATAAAGCTTTCAGAAATAGGGATTCTAATTCCCTTTGAAGTTCGGGCAACCAGGTAAAATGCCCCATTCTCAATTGCACATACTTGGTTTTCGTTGTTGATCTAATTTATTTGTAAGGTTTCTTAATACTGTGCACCATATTTTGAGAGTTTTGTAAGACATTTCTAAAATAAAACTATAATTGTATATATATATATATATATATATATATATATATATATATATATATATATATAGTTTTTAAGAAGTAGCCAAGTAATTGAGTGCTATCTTCTTTAGTCACACCATTTGAAATGAATAGATGACTGACAAAATTTCATCTGAGCACTCGACTCTGTTATATAACACACTCCCGACTTAGTGATATAAGTACTTTAATTATCAAACACTGGTGGTGCCGTCAGATTCTACATCTTCTAGTATTAATAAGCAAGTGGTATAGTGTCTTCATATATCATTCTGTAACATTTAGTCGAGTGAGAATGCACGCGTGACCATTAGGTTGTGTGGTTTACTATATGCTTGTAAAATGGTTATCATAGGCAAAATAAGTGTTAAGACTACAGTAGCTTACTGAATAGACTATTCCTTTGATATATCATTCACCTGCAAGTAATTAATTACCAAGGAAAAGGATCACGTTTTGTTTTGCAGCTTTAGCAGTATTACAGCTTATCTATCATCTATTAGGTATAATTGTATGCTTGCTTTATCCTTGTTCAGACACTATATGTGATATAATTATGTAACTTAATCCTGCTTTTGCCTACTATTTACTTGTTTTACTGTTTTCTTAGATGATCCTGATGAACAACTAAACCCTAAGAAGAAAATTTTCGAACAGGTTAAACCAGATCTTAGAGTAAATGATAATGGTATTGCTGTATATAAAAATGTTCCATGGAAGCTGAAAAATTCTCCAAATGCTGTAATTAAGTCGCTTAATATTAAAGACGCTCAAATAGCTTAATTACTGTTTGTAACTTTGTTTTCACAAAAGATGTTGATAAACCTCTTTTGTGTTTTGGAGATAATTTTTCCCTAAAATATGAACCGTAATTAATCCCACTTAATGATTGAATTGCATCACATGATTCGTTTTCTTTTAAAACCGGTTCAGTTGAATAGTAATTGATTTCTGAAGTACTTGATTGTAAACACGAGTGTTACGTTTCGATTAAAGTTTTGCTCTTCTTGTGTAGACCGTTACTTCAGTATAGTCTAAGGAGAACTACTTTAGTTGTGGAATTCCGCAGAAAAATGTTGTTGAACACTTGAAAGGTAGACGAAGCAATTAATTTCTATAGATAACTTTTGTTAACCTTCTAGGATGAATTTTTCCTTGGATCGTAGGTAAAGAGCTCAGATTAGGTGTAATCAAGTTGAAGTGTACTTTAATTTCCTTTACTCGAAAAATGTCAAGGTTTTTGTCGTATTTGTTTATCGATCTGTTATTGTTTACGTCAGGCGACCAAGTTAATGTATACATACTTGACACAAACGAACTGAAAGTTTATGCATATACAGCTTTTTGAATGCATGATGTAAAACTTCAAAAAATATCATGTAACACTATCGTTAACAATAATCAGATATAAAAAATCATTAGAGATAACAGTTATTCCATATTACTATCACAGTACCCAAGTTTTACACATATATTAAGATAACAGTTAGTTCATACTTTGAAAAGGCATTTGTTAAGAACATATATCCAATATTGAACAAGTTATGTATAGACTAGTGAACTGGCAAATAAACACACACACACACATGTATAAATTCCAGCCGTGCAGAGCATAAAATGTTAGAAAAAGATTAAACGTTTACTAGGTATTCTGGAAGAGTCTGTATTTACCCATTTATCTGCTACAACTGTTCCCCACCATTCTGACCTGTAGTTTCTGTGCTGTTTATTAACTGACTTAATTGAATGTGCAATAATTTCAGGCAGTTTCTCGTCCAGTATATGTTTCATTTGTGTTACATCTAATGGTACTATATGAGTCTAAATATGTGGGACAAAAAAGAGACGTATGATTCACTTAAATTGTTTACTAATAATTGTTGCAGTCAAATACCATCTACTAACAGACTAAGGCCATATTCATTACATATGTATTGAATTTCAACGTAAACACTAGATTTACTGACCAGATGGTATTTTAATTCTCCATAGTAAGTATATATTAACTGCCAGTTATCGGTATGAATTCCCGTATTATCAAATTGTCTTAGTACCACTGATAGTGTCGTGGTAAATGACCGTGAAGATGGAAGGATAAATTATTACAGGGTATTTTTGTATCACACATAAATATGTGTGTTTGCTGTCAGTGCATTAATTGTTCAGATAACCATACTCTTCACATGACACTTGGTCGTATTCCCCGCGATCAAGCTAAAGTTAGGACTTTATCCGTGGGTGTGTCGTGCGGCCCACCTCATCACTTTGTATGTAACAGTCTTCTCTCTAATCATGAAGAGACTAGAATTGTTTGTGACAAATATTGTAGTTCAATTCTTACTTTAACTTTGATCTTGGTTACTGATGTTCCACGCTATAAGGCTTACCTATTGTAAGGGCTGATGATAATACACACTTTCCTAGGTTGAATTATGTGGGGTGGGATTCGAACCCCGAACCTACTAGCTGAAAGTCGAACACTTACGCCAATAAGCCTCGGTCTCCACTTTAAAGTGCTATAATCTTCATATGTCGTACATTAATCATTGAAATTGTGGCTTTTAACAATATTGTAGAAAAAATTAAGAAAAGGTGCAAGGAACAAAAGCGTTGGAAGAATACCTCTGGTGCTTTTGTTTCCTTCAAACTGGGCTGTTGTGGCGAGTGCTACTGATAAGATTTATCAGTACTACATGAAGAGACGTTCATCGGCATAAAAAAGGTCAAATAACAGAAAGATAGATTTGATGTCATATAAGGCAAATGATACAGAGTTGTAGAGATACATGGGAAATGTGAAAGAAACACATATGAAGTCCAGAAGAACCACAACACGAAGATCTGTCCAAATGGTGCGTTGGAGATAAGGTATACATAATTTGGGTATATAGAGATACCAATTCCCAAACAAACATTCCTGTACCAAAGTTTTCGTCTTCTACCGTTGCATCATGACAATGAACATAATCCAACATTTTACTAATGATGGATGAACAAAGGAAAGTCACCGATTAAAATACTTACTTTATTGTGATATAAATTCGAATTATTATTTTGTTTATGGAATGATTGTACTGATCGTTTTACTGAATTCAACTTATAGTCACTCTGAAGTTTTGGAAAGGCTACAATTATTAATAGTTGTTCATTTAATCTAATTTGTTCATTATCTAATGGGATGTATCTGAGAGATGTGTGCATATATTGAATTAAACCTTCAGAATAATTGTTCATACTATCCATCCACTGATGATAATTCACATTGATAGGTATATCAATTACCTGAAAGGAAAAAGAAAGTTTAATGATTCATCCATTGAATAAGAAAAGTTATTGTAGACAAAAATACAAACTCTTAAAATTTCTGTCGTATACAGAGTGAGAAGGAATTCCTTTACTTTTCAGATTAAATCTTTAATAATATAATAGGATCCTCTATCAATAAAAGAAACAGCGAATTGACTACACACTAAACTGATTTCATTTCAATATTCTCGTATACTGTTTATTCCAATGAGCTTGAATGAATAAAACAGTTATTTCCAGTGAAACATATAATTCTTTTAATAATCCGATTATTCATTATTCCAATTGCTTTGTCCACATCGTAGCTAGAGGGTCAGTTATTTCGGTTCGGGTAAATCAGTGCACCTTTTAATTTCTAGCCAAAATTACCGATAGCAGGTGTTTTATATGCAATATCGCTATGTCTGATTCACTGAAAACTGGCCTAACTAGGGTTGTCACTTTATTTCCGTGACCACTGAATTCTGAGCTTCCTTACAGAATAAAACGACATTGGGATTTCATCATGAACTGACATCGCTTAGAGAACTACTGGACAGCCGTTTCGACTCAGTATGGGACTCTTCAACAGTACGTACCTACTGATTTTCGAACCTAGGACCTTCTGGTTGCACGTTGAGCCCGTAGACCATTAAGCTATTAAGGTCTGATCCAGTGTCCCGTGAATTCCAACTTCTGCCATTTAATGATATGGCGTGACCACTAACGGATGTCATTGTCGAGTATCTGTCCTCGCATCCGACCTGGTGTACCCCAATAGTCACGACTTCCCACTATAACCCATGTAAATACCTGCCTGAATACGGCCTGTCACTAATGAAAATCAGATTGATATTCAAGTGTTTTCTACCTTTCCAAATATACAGAAATGCACGAAACAATACTTCCTACTTCAGGTTGTTTATTTCATTCTGAATTAAAATAGTGTTCTAAATTAGTCTCTATACTTGATTACCACGAAAACAGTGTACCCGTTCCATCATATGCACACATCATTTTTGTTGACAACGAGCCAGATTGACTAAAGCAGCTTGGAATCATAACAAGTTTGTTCTTTTCGATTGGGTAGCAACTATCACTCTGTTTCAAAAGGCAAGGGATCTATCTGCATTTGTCCAGTCTATTTCATTAAGTTGAATAATCTATTAAACGTACATCATTACCCACTAACACTGCTTAGTGATCGATTTAATAGACTTAATAATGAATTATTACTTTTGAAACATCACTCAATAAATAATACTGTGTAACATTTCCAATAAGCAGACCGATATAAAATTACATACTACTACAGTATTCTAGTTCTACACTTATATTAATGCCTGCTTATGTATTCTTGTCAACTTTTCTGAATATGTCGAATCACTTATTTCCGGTTAGAAATATTTTTATACCCATGATTTTGTCTAATTTTAGAACCAGTCAATAGGGGCTAGGCGTGACATTAATTATAATGCGGTTGGAAAATATTGAGCCCCGAACTTATGCAACCAGTTAATTAGTTATTTATGACTCAACTTTCCAAAAAGGGTTAGTATTTGTATTTCACTATAACAAAGTCGATTGTTCCCACCAGCTGCTTGAACGAGGCTGTCTTCTGTCTTTATTTATGTGGGCTCTACAAGTCAGGAATAATTGAGAATCAGTATCGTGTATTCTGTCTTCAGATGAGTTATTTATTGTCTTCATGTATCGATCACTAGTCTCAGCAGTATGATTAGTGTGAGTTATACTTACCCATATCAAATTTGGTGACTGTAAAATAGCGCTAAGGAGTCAAAGAATCATGCGATCCTTTTGCTTCTGTTCCAAGTTCGTTTCTTACATCTGCTATAAATTCATTACAAATTACTACAGTTGAAATTATAACAACACTATTAACCAATCACCATCAATGGGAGGGAGTTGAAAGAGGTTACTTCATTCACTTATCTAGGGAGCATTGTCTCAACTACAGGCAGGACGAACGGACGAGGATGTCAAATCGAGAATCGGGAAGGCAAGAAACACATTCATCAACCTAAAACCAATCTGGAAATCTTCGTCACTCAGTATCAACAACAAAATTCGGATTTTCAATTCAAATGTCAAGTCAGTCAGTTCTTCTATACGGATCAGAAACTTGGCGGGTCACAAAGAATATTTCCAACAGGTTGCAGACCTTTATCAACAACTGTCTTCGCTCTATACTGAAGATCAAATGGCCGGAAAGAATCATCAACAAGAAACTATGGGAACAAACAAAGCAAGAACCAATCGCCCAACAAATATGCAGGAGAAAGTTGAGATGGGTTAGACACTCGCTGAGGAGGCCGCTGGGTGACATCGCGCGTCAGGCCCTCGAGTGGAACTCGAAAGTGAAGCGGTGAGTGTGACGTCCAAGGGTGACATGGAGGAGATCGTGTGAAGAGGAGTTGAAACAGTATGGACCAAAATGGATGCAGGTGAAAAGTACAGCAGAAGACAGAAGCAAGTGGAGACGTGCAGTTGAAGCCCTATGTTCCACTAGGAACCCAAGGGAACAATAATAATAATAATTAACAATAATATTGTAAATGCATGTATTGCCTATTACACTATATAC